ACAAAGATAATTATTAATATCTAATTAATATTTGATAATGTTTCCAATATGCCCCTATTTTTGAGAATTGAATGAATTACTTTATTCTCTAAACAAATTACAAAGAAGAAAGATTAGTCCCATGAGTTTAGTAGAGAGACTCTGCTTCTAGTGATATTCTTTTTTATGAATATAGTATGAGGAATACAAATAGTACAACTATTTTAATGTGTGCTATAATTATAACACATTCTATGTGACTATGAAGAGTCCTGTCGAATCCTCAGAAGATTAAAAATGAATTGCTTGGCCATGTTGTAATCTGCTCCAACCTCAGAAAATAGTTATGGCTAAAATTAGTACCAGAACTTTCTAGAGAATAGAGGCAAGGATCTTGAGTGTTCGTCTGTTCAACCATCCTGCTTTCAGTGTTGAATACTGATCATCCAATTGCATCTAAAATTTTTTCAGAGACAAGATACTTACATTTAAAGGATGTGCTTCTAATTACAGAAGCTACTTGCACACACAAAATATAAGTTCTAAAAATCAGATTCTAAAAATCAGATTCTAAAAATCAGACAAAATCTAGGAAAAGTAGCATTTTGTAGTACTGCATTACTTTGTAGATTTCTTTAAAATTTTCTTTATTAATACGTGTTTGCAGTACATAGTAATTCCATTTATTGTGGGGAGCTGCTACAGGCAAATATCACTTCCTAACCTTTTTTTTACTTTCCCCTTCCTCTTTTGTCTCCCCCCTTCTTCCATGTGTAGAACAGAAATTTTAATCACCTTTCCCTCCCGTTGTTCCCACTGAAGTTGTTAGGCTGGTTTGGGTTGTTCCCTGACCACTAACTACATAAATAAACGCTCCAGTGTTTGCCCTAGTAAAAGTAGCCTTTCAACTCTAGCTGCTTTCTTCTTTCATTTTATTAGATGCCATAAAGTCTCCGTGCCGTGATAGCTTCCCATGTATTCTTCTCTGTAACCTGACAGCAGCGTCAATACCCTGTGTGATAATACTGAAAACCCACTCAATCCAGTTTTGCTCTTTTCACCATGGATTTGTTATGATGGGTGCTTTTACCATCTCAATATCTTATTTCTATTTTCAGGTTACTTAAAATTCTTATCTGTGTTATTTTTCTTCGTTGTATTTATGCAGTTATAATTTTGACAATTGCTTTGCAATATTTTTTTTCTGTCAACTTTTTTAGCCAACTTTCTTCCATTTCTGCTCCCAAGTGTCTATCAGTGTCACTTCATAATGATCATATATATATGGCCTAAACCAACTGACAATCTTAAACACATTTTCTATGTTTTTTAAAATGTGTCCCTATCTAAAATGAGAACCAAGAACTGTCATGTGAAGGTACAGGATCCCAGTAATGAATGTAACTGTATTGTAGACCTAGATTGTACCAATAAACAATAAAAAGAAACAAAAAGTGTCCCTATCTCTCACATGCCAATCTCTTGCAAATATCTATGCCTTGGGATGAGGCATCTTATCTCTACCAAGTCCTCATTCCTCCTTAACACTGTCTTAAATGCCTGTTGTGATTTCTCGGTGTACAAATCTTCTTTGGCATTTATATGTAGTATTCTGCATTATTTTACATAAATGAAATATGATATGCTATACTATTTTCGAACTGACTTACCCATGTCTTTCCTCTGATGACACAGTAAAGTCCTTGACTATGGAGATGGTATTGCATAATTTCACAATGACCCCCCCAGCCCCTTCACCCCAGCATAGTTCAGAAAACACTGAAGATGCTTAATAATTGTTGATTGAACCAAATTATCAGTCTGTCCATTGACTACATTAGCAAATGTTTACTAGTTTTCTTGTCTTTGCCTAAAACTGTAGTTCCTTTCATCTTTTCTTGTTTTCTTTGTAAATCTCAAGCTACTAAGAGAAAGAAAAAGCACCAAATCAGAAGGTGTTAGAAAAGACTGGGTTCTTAGTATTAGAGTTATGAACCATAAATGACAGTCAGGAGCCAGGGGCATGCATGGAAGTGCTGTTCCCAGAACCAAAGTTGGAAGTGAGGACGTGGAGGTAAAATAAATATTATTCAGACATACATAGGGAATAGTATCTAGCTGGAGGATGAATATCCTGAGATACTTTCAATAGTAATTATAGTCCACAGCTTGCACAAAAATAAGGTTCAGAAACCAGGATCATGCATAGTGCTTGTGTGTGCAGTGTGACTTTTCTGAATCACCTGCCTCTGGTAGCAGGACCAGTGCCTGTGGGTGCCTGGTTGCTGAGTGCTCTGCTCCTTGTTCACCATCTGGCTTAATTACTGCACAAGATGGCCTGTGGTCCCGCAGGAGAAATGCATGCCCCCACGGTCTTCTTAGCTTTGGATGTTACATAAGGAGCCGCCCCAGAGACTTCCTGCTTTGAGTTGCCAGAGCACTTTTGGAGCTGCTTGAGGAAAGGTATTAGATGAAAGCAAGTCAGTGACATTAGTTAATGCGTTTTCCCCTGTTCCAAGGCAGCCAAGTATTCGAACACATGGTGTTAAAAAGCATGTTTTCCCCACTGATACAATCTGAAAATCGTAGCAGCTCAATTAGGAATAGCTAATACAAAATTGCATAATGTTTATTAAACATCTCAGTTATTAATTTTTATTATTTCTAGCACATTACTTAAAAACATAACAAGCTTCCTTTTGTTTAGTGTGTAACTACTTTAATAAACAAATATCCTTTTCCTGAAATTCAATTTGTAGTCTATATTTTGGGATCAGAGAAAGCTAATTGAAATAGCTCAACCATATAAATCAAATTAACTTAAAATTTAATTTTTATTTTTGAAAAATCTCATTGCAAACAAAGGATAACCTCACATGCATAATGAGGTACAGGATTATGGCAGCCATTTAGTTAATTCAAGCTAAAAATCTCCTTTTCTGTAACTTTAATTAATATTTTAGGCAAAACCACCAAAGTCTAAATTAATCTAGAAAACACTTTGGCTTTTAATGGAACTTTTCATGGATGTAAAAACTGGTAGTATTACTTTTCCTAAGAGATTTGTAACTTAAAGCTTAGTATTGGTCATGATTATTAGATTTATAAACTTTAATTTCCAACCTTCTCTTAATGAAAACAGTCCTTCTAGATAAAGGGATTAATAATTATTTTTAAAGTAAGGAAATGCCCCCTTTACATGTACATATCAGAGATGTATTCCTTAAGTACAGCGGCGTTTAAGCATTGTTAGTCTTACTTTGCATGTGGTAGTTTTGGTAGAACGTGGGTATTTAGTACCTTTCTTCAAACTTCTCTATGTCATAAATATACTGTGTAAGGTAAGACAGATGATGATCAAAAGCCAAGTTAAGGGCTGCCTGAATAATTTATTTTTTGTACTCTAAAGCAAGACATTTGTTGTTATACAAACTTTATCTAAGCTTATGTTGTGCTAATGTTATTTATATCAATGATAGGCGGTAGTGATTCTCAAAATTAGTTTGTGCAAGATGTTTTAAAAACTGTCCACTTATGCTCCCATACAGCCCAACTGAATGTGAATCTTTACCAGGATGTCCCAGGACATCTATGTATTATTAAATCTTCCGAGATGAGCTCAGTGGATGGTAGGGATGAGAACCATGCCAAGATGACTAATTTAACAGTAGCAATAATGGGACAACACTTGAAAAAACATTTTAATGTTTATTTGATTGAAAATACTTAAATTAATGATGGCTTATTTTGGCCATCTTTACACTGACTACTTTTTTTTTTTACTTTGTTGTCAGTGAAAGTAACTATCCTTTTAACGTTTTTTTCTCTGTCTTGAATTCTGAACCAATTGTAACACTTTTTGGAAATGGCATTATTATGCGGAATACAAAGAGTTAGAGATGAATTGCGATTAGGGACTACTTCGAAGATATCCTTCATGGTAAGGGACAAATCTCATAAAATAGTGCTTGAGAATATATTTTTAAAAATAAGCAATTTTCTGAATTTTGCTTCTTTTGGGGTAAACAAACAGAAAAAACACTGGGAAATCAGATTTTTCTACAATAGCCAGAAAAATATAAAATGTATGAACCAAAATAAGAAGAAGAAATTCTGTTTTTTGTAAAGAAAAAATACTTTATGCTCTAACAAAAAGGAAATAATCTCAGGGGAAAAGTAATTTTTTTTTTCTAGGTAATGTATTTTAAGAATTCACTTTACTGGAAGTGTTTTGTTTTTAATTTAAAGAACAGAAATTCTGATTCATTATTTATTGTGTCCGAAGTATAGAACTCTATTGAGAGGACAGTAAAGACTGGTTGCAGATCACTGCTTCCGAGTGGCTGATTCCTTCCGACTCCAATTGCTGATGTCCGAGTAAGAGAGAGGCAGGGCACAGTTTCCTCTCCTTACAAGCGGTGGACAGACACTGGCAGCCACTCAGCTGCCCCACTCTTCATTTGATGCTCTCCACTTCAAGGCAGACCCTGTCCTAAGCAGATTAGTGTAGACAGCATGAAGGACACAGTCAGCTAGCCAAGCTTTTCAAGGAAGAGATTTGGCTCCAAGTAGGACAATAAGCTTTTCAGCCTTCTGCTTATTTACCTCCTCAGCAGGATGCAGTGTCTCTGGGTGCTTAGTGGACTCCTGAGGAATCGGGGGAGAAACAAAAGCAGAAGTGGCAGCCGCTGCAAATGTGGGAGTCTGTGCCATTAAAGGAAGCAGTTGCTAATAAGGGCCTGTGAGACCTAGGTTTCCTTGGTTTCCATGACAGTTATTAGGTACCATAGAAATTGAATTGTCTCCCATAATGCTCTTAGGGGAGAGGGAGTGCTCCAGTGACAAAGCAGTACAGTTATGACTAGCAGTAAATCGTCCTTTTGAGAATGCAATATTCCCTGTATTACTTGCTGTTGCATTTTCTTTTAAACTCCCCTGTCAGGGTGCTTGACATTTTGGCCAGAAGACCCTGGCTTCTGTTGTACAGCGTCTCAAACACTATTTTTCCCCTTTTTATTTAGACCTGAGCTTGGCAAAGCAAGGATATGAACAATTGTGCAGGTGGGCTACTCAGGGCGAGTGAAGAGATCAGGCATCCAATCAGGGACTGGTAACCTGCAGCTGTGCCAATATGCCCCTCCACCAGATTTCCGTAATGCCAGCCCGGGAGACTGCCAGCAATGGGAGAAGTTCAATGGGCAGAAACAAAGAGAAGAACAAGGAAGTCGAGGTAAGAGGAGAATTGATTTGATAAAATAGCAAAACTGAGCCAGGGTAGGCAATGTAGCTCTGCCCAGCAGGATGCAGCTGAGGTTGAAGGGCAGCTGGCTTCCAGCTCCCAGTGTGTGATAGGAGATGCAAGAGGGCATCTGTTCCTAGCAGGGATGTATGAAATGTAACCTCTTTTCTCAATGAAGAAAGGCACGAAATTCATAAGGACACTTTCTATTTGACAGATACAAACTTCTGCCTCTTTTTCTAAACAGCCCACAGACTCACTGTTGAGTTTCACGGCTCATGGGGTCCAACCTGGGTGTCCTGTTGCCGTCCTCTATTTTCACACAGTGGAACAGTCCGATGCCTACTAATTCTGCTCACTACCCATGAAGCCGTAGCGTTTGAGAATAACTTTCTTAACAAAGCGGCAGAGACGTCAGGGATCAGGAGGCTGTGACTCCACGCACGTGGGGTGAATCAGTTCCTCACAGGATCAGTTTCTCTCCTTTCCTTGGTGGCGCAAGGGTGTGCGTGCCTCGTGCGATGTCTGTTTGTATTTTACTTTTCATGAAAAATTTTTTGAGACAATGGAAACATAACTTATTATGTGTCGGCATCATTTTGGGGTGAAATTTAGCGACTATTCATGTAAGTTAAACTGCTTCAAAGAGCAGATGCTGGAAATTTATTTCAAAGGTTTTTAAGAATGGAATTAAGTGAAGTAAAGAAAACTGGTGCAAATTCCTAAGCTCTACTGTGTCCTGATAAAGGGGAGTTTTAGACAGAACGCCAGAAGCTGTGATGCTCTTGTATCTTTTGTATAACTATTGTCCAGTCCTCATTAGTTGAGTTGTGTAGGAAATAAACTTTCTCCACCTTCAGGTCTGTTAATTTTGTTTTCAAGCATAGGTAGTAGGGACAGAGGAGGCAGCAAAAATAAAAAAAAGAAAGAAAGAAAGAAAGAAAAGACCTGTGAGTCAAGTAGTCACAAGTAGTCAAGTAGTGCCTAAGAGGAAACAATAATGAACTTGAATATGTTTGTAGTTGGCAAAAGTCACACAGAGTTTCTCTACTTATTTGCACTGTTTTCTAAAATGTCATCCAAGAGCAATAAGTTCTGGTGTCTAGAATTTGTGAAAAACTTTAGTAGAATTTTCTGATGAATTAGCATTAAGAGAAACGTTTACTTTGGTGATTTCCCTGCCATTCACACACAAAGAGTTTCTAAAAATGAAGAATATTTGGTAAAGAAACTTATATTTGGTAAAGGAACTTATCAGCTCAGTATTAATTGGAAATATTTCTGTAATGTGTTTTTTTTTCTTATGATTGGTAATGTGATTATTAGAACACCTAAGAGCTAGCTCCTAAGTTCATTGGTGTGGGGTAAGAGCAAAAGGGGATACTGATCCATTTTAAAAATACTTATGAAATAGTAAAGCAAAACTTACAAAAAGTTTTGAACAGTGTACTCATAACAGAAACCTTTGGGTAAATTTAAGATTTATTGAAGAAAAATTCATGTAAAGATATTGGGCAGTTTTGTTTAGAATCTGAAAGGATCAGAAATAAAAGTATTGTTTCAGTTCTAGGTCTTCATCAGAAATCTCCTGCTGCTTATTGCTGCTTGGCATAAAACAGATACACTGGGGTGGCTTACATGATTTTTGAAAAAAAATCTCTGTGTAAGAAATAATAACATTATTCTGCCTCATGTAAAAATAGCCACAATCTGATTCAATACTGGTTCTATTAGACATCTTCAAAAATCCTTACAAACATTTTAAAGTATTCACATATTCACAGTTGCCTCTTTCCGGGGTAAAAAAAAAACAAAAACAATTTTATGACTCAGAACAATGGGTTTGCCTCTTTCTGAGTGCAAGGCCAATAAACACAAGAGATAAAAGTTTATTACTTAGAGTAGGTAAGGAGAACACTGAAATTCATTTGCAAAGCAGTGTTCTTCCCAAAGAAAGCAAGGAGCTTTCACTGAGGGAGTCATGTATGTTTATCCAGGGGACTTCAACATGGGTAGAGGCAGGCACATTCCCCTGTATGTGCTGTTCAAGGTCATCATTGTGGGACCCAAACTCCTCCGCACGGAAGTTACTAGGAGCAAAGTTCTTTCCTAGTCATCAAAAGTGACTCAGAATGATTTGATGTTGGCTGATTGTTTTAAGTTTCTCCAGTGAAGCCTTAGCTGAAACCAAAAAGGAAAACAACTTTGACGTCATGTTAACAGGCTCTGAAAGGGCAGCAGCTTTTCTTCAGTAAGTGTAGGAACTCCTCTCTGAAAGTGCCTGCCTCACCTAGCAGTTAATAGTATTGCACAGTGGGAGTCAATGGGCCTTCTCAAAGGAAAATTAGGTTAATTGTGAGAAAATGAAAGGAAACTTGCAGCATACGTATTATTTTAAAAGGAGATATAGTTCTGAATGTCAGAAGATGAAGCACTTTTAAGATTTCAAATGCTTCTTGGTTTCCTATAGAATGAAGTTAAAGTTGTTCTTTAAAGGAGTGTTTGAAATACATTATTAAATCCTATATGCCATTAAATCACATCTTTGCTGAGCTAGTGGGAAAGAATGGTGAATGTCTTTTAAGATGGATACATTAAACAACATATATCCTGTGTATCAGAGAGCAAGACAATGCCTTCTGTAATTTCAGGTGATAGTTCCCTCCAAAGGAAAATAAAACTCTTGTCCTTCTATGGATGTCTCTTGGTTGAACAAATGAAGAGCATCTTCCTTTAACATTTCCTTAATGTGTTTTGCTAACCTTAAGATTATTCAGGGAATCCATATGTACACTGAGGAAATGACCTAAATGCAAAATAAAGAATTTGCTAATTTAAATATGAATCCAATTAATTCCTCTTAGGCAAGAAATTAAACTCTTGAATCGGTTAACTTGCTATCCGGTGTTTTTTGTTCATTTTTGGGCACATAAAAAAAGATAGAAAATTTATTCATTAATGATTCATGCAATCCATAATTCCTAAGTATAAACAACTAACAGATTAATATTTTAAAACATTCTAACTTCAGGTGTAATGATAAATATATCCCTTGCCGTATTTTACATTCCATGTTCTAGTTATATATGTATTTAGCTCTGGAAACACACACAAAAAGAAACAAAGAGTGTTGAGCATTTGTGGAGTTGATGGGGTAATGGAGTGGATGTAGTTTCTCTCCCTTTTATTTATTTATTTATTTTTTGGTACCGGGGAATAGAACTCAGCCCTTGTGCTTTTGAGGCAAGGGAGCGGAACCACTAAGCCAAACTCCCGGCCCTGTAGTTTCTCTGTTTGAGGCACCAGCTCTAGACATTGCTTTGGTAGTTAATGGACAATGTCTTATACTACTTGATTTCATTAGCACAGCCAGAGTGACTCCCACCATTTCAATAAAGTTGTAGATTTAGTGGAATGTATTTGGTCAAATTTCAAAAGTTATACCTGAAGATAATCTCTCTAAATCTAGTGATGAACCACTTGAGTGAGAGTCCCAGAGAGGAGAAATTAGTAATAAGACTCTCCTTATTATGGCACAATCACTGGGGGAAATGGAATGATTGGATTGGGGAGTAGTTCACCTATACCTTGGAAAAACAATGGCCTTCGGAACCCTTTGGAAGAAATAAGCACTCCAAAGAGGTCCGAAGTTTTAGATTTCTTATTCTCTGGTTGAGGTTAGAGACTGACAGTTTCACTTGCCTACTTTGTTAATTGGGCCACTTTCCTCCTATTAATCCATTCTTTCCTTCTTTTTCAGCTGTGTTAATACCACTTATTAAGCTGTAATTAATTCATGTTAGAGATTTGAGCCTAAAGAAAATCTGTCTCTTACAAAGGGGGTAAATTTTATTAATCAAATATTTGGCTGTCTAGGGATACCTTAAATTCCTCCTCTCTATCTGGAAATTATGGGTACTGTATGTATAATTGAATAAATTTAGTATTTCATGAAACTCAAGGACATCATCTTTAAAACTTGCTGAGGCTTGTCAGTGAATGTAAGATTCGCTATGTTTCAAATGTGGAGAAAAAGGGATTGTGCTAAGGCTTCTGCTGTCCCTGCATCACAGCTGCCCCAGTCTACACCAGTACACGGAGTCCCCAAGAGAGGTGACAGGGCTCACAGCAAAGGGGAAGGTGGCCAAAGGCCTTTCTTTCCAATCTTTCCTCACTCTCAAGCTGGCCACATATAGCAAATGAGCTTTAGGAGAAATGCCGGGGTGGTGGTGGGGCACAAAAATCTGCTTTAGGGTGTATTTTCTTTGACCATTTTTATTATATTGTGATATTTCTGATTTTCAAATTTTTCATTTTTTTTTCAAAAAGTCTGCCAAGTTTGTTTTACTTTTTTTTTTTTTTTTTTTTTTTTAGAATATCCTTCTCCAATATACCCAGGGGCCATTTTTATTTTCCTCCAAATAGCTGCAGATATGTTACATAAAAATCCTTTGATGAACTTCAGTGAACGGAAAAAATAAACATGTGACTTATTTTTTTCAGCTTTAATTGAGTTTATTGGTACATTTTAGGGATCCAGTACAGTGACATTCATTGTTGGGATCTTGTACCTCTACATGACAGGTCTTGGTTCTCATTTTTTCCCCTTACCTCTGCCCTCCCTTCACCCCCTCCTCCCCTCCCCATCTACAAACACTTTATTTCCATCTTTTCATTCTCTCACATCCTTTTCTTTTCCCTTTTTACTCTTCCCCTACCCATCCCACCTTCCCTACACCTTTAGCTGCTTTCTTCCCATTTCTAATCTGCAACAATGCATACGATTCCAATAAGACATGAGACCTTTTGATGTCTGTCTTCATCTTGAACACATAATGAAGAGAGATTTATTGTTTTAATTAAAAGTGCTACAAGAACATTTCCTTTTTAATAAGTATGTTTGCTGTATATAGTGTTCACATTCCTTATGTGAATCTGTTGTATAATCCATCTCTAAAAAATTTCTTTAAGTTTATTGGTACATTTTAGGT